GATTTAGACATATCCAATCAAAATCTACAACATGTTTAGGATATCTTTTTGAATAATCTTGAAAATTCCTCAATTTAATCTACAACATGTTTAGAATATCTTTTTAAATAATCTTGAAAATTCCTCAATTTAATCTACAAATTATAATTTCCTAGAATGTGACAATTAAACTTAATCCTTACCGTGAAAAAAGTAATTTTGTTAACTAGTAAAGGAAATATTTTTTGGCTACCTAATCTAATCAATATTTTTTTATATCAATCAAACTAAACATTTGGGGGCATATGCAACTATGCTTACTATTAGTGATGGGCATAACTCACACCCAAAAAATAGCTCAAGAGTGGAGGATTATCCATACACTTATATATTGTCCAAGGACCACAATTGTGTCCGATGTGGGACAATCTAATAGCCCCTTTCGAGATGTGCGTGCGAAACGATCCACAGAGAAATAACCCAAGCCCAAAATCTCGGAAATACCACAGCATATGGACCACTTTTACAGGCTACATAGGTAGGAAACTGTTTATGTAGGACATCATAATGTTGGGCCAAACATGGCTCTGATACCATATTAGTGATGGGTCTAACTCACACCCAAAAGCTAGCTCAAGAGTGGAGGATTACTCATAGACTTATATATTGCCCAAAGACCACAATTGTGTCCGATGTGGGAAAATTTAATAGCCCCTCTCGAGATGTGGGTGGGAAACGGTCCATAGGGAAACAACCCAAGCCCAACATCTCAGAAATACCACAGCAATGGGTCACTTTTACAGGCTACATAGGTAGGAAACTGTTTATGTGGGAAACCATATGTTGGGCCAAATCTTAGGCTTTGATACCATATTAGTGATGGGCCTAACTACACCCAAAAGTTAGCTCAAGAGTGGAGAATTGCCCATACACTTATATATTTCCCAAGGACCACAATTGTGTCCGATGTGGGACAATCTAATACTTAGAAAAATATTATTGAAGTTATAAGTTTTTAAGGCTCCTAAGACAAATGTTGTAGTATAAGAGATTATCGAACCAATTCTAAGAGATTTTAAAGCACCGAGAATACAAGTACTCACTTAATCTAAGTGCAATTGAATAAATGATGGTTTTGAACTATAACTAAGAATAAGAAAAGCGATAACTAAAATAACTTCCTTGATTAAGAGAAAGGAGAACCCATGGGGGTAGGGATTAGATCTTGGGTGATCAAACTTCAAACTAAGGATGGTAAATGATCAATTAAACTATCAACCTTAAGCCTAGACACATCTCTAAACAAGCTCTATGTCTAGATGAATGCTCATTTACTAACATAACTCAAACATCAAATGTCTTCGGTTGTATGTTATAAAAGTAATCTTTAAGAACAAGTTTATTAGCCATCTTAACACCTTTAACAACAAATGTCTGTGGTAAAGTATGTTAAAAGCTTAAGAGAGTTTGGTTTAGGCATTTCATCTAACACCTTGTGAGGTGGGAAATGCCTAAATCTCAACTTTTGAGAGGCCAACTCAAAAGATGCATTAAGAATACTCTACTAGCAAGGAATAATAGAAATCTACACTAAACATCCTAGTTCTAGCCTAATCACCCTTAATCTCCCTGTCCCATGAATTCAAAAGTGGATTACTCACTAATCTTCATGATTCCTCTTAAACCCATATTGGATTCAAGCTTAATCATGTAAATATGAGTAGAAAATTCAATGAAATAAAACAAGGATCACAATAACAATGAAGAATGATTCATAGAAATGAACTTTTCCAAGAAGTTTTTTTGTTTTCTCTTCAGATCAAAAGATAACTGCCTGGTAGGCTCCAAAAAGTCCTTAAACTTAGGTTTTTCAAGTGTACAAACATAAAATAAATGACCAAAAGTTCCCTGAAATAACTTAAGTTTTGACCAAACAAATGACGCAGAGCGACCTGGCCACGTCGCTCCAGTAGGTCGCTATGGCTGGGAGCGACCTATGGAAGTCGCTCCGGGAGGTCGCTCCAGGGGCTCTTTCGGCTTCCAGATTTGATAAAAAGGCGGGCGACCTAGGTACGTCGCTGTGACCACGTCGCTCTAGTTTGGAGCGATCTTGGTAGGTCGCTCTGGCAGGTCGCTCCGGCTTGGAGCGACCTTGGTATGTCACTCTGGCAGGTCGCTCCAGGAGCATTGTTCTGGCACGTCGCTCTGGCTTGGGAGCGGCCTTGGTAGGTCGCTCTGGCACGTCGCTCCCAACTCTGCTCGTCCAATGATCACTTCTAACTCCTCTTTTGGACCTCAAATGCATACAATCACCTCCAAGAATTTCAAGGATACTCCAATACCTGATAAAAACTCATGTATGCAAAATGCAACCTAGAAATGACTAAATCCTAGTCTATATGATCAAAATGCATATTGATAAATGGATAAAACAATGGAAATATGCAAGACATCAATTATATTTCAAAAATAATTCGAGAATAAGAATCTATAGTTGATATGGGCATGTAAACTTATCTTATTACCTTATTATATTGGTCCGTATTAAGCGCATATCTTTACTTCGTAGTCGTCGTTTTGACCAATTTTTACCCTTTTTTCTGGCTCAAGGTAAATGTTAAAATATTATATATATTATCCTCCTTTTTATTAATTTAATTATTGTAATAAGTTTTAGGAAGTCGTAAGAAAAGCTGAGTAACCAAACAGAGTGTCTCCCCAAAAAGTAACAATTTTCTAATTTTATAATAAAATCCCATTTGTTACAAAAAAAAAGAAAAATAAAATAAAATAAAATAATAATAAAATCCCACTTGCCCAGTCTCTTCTTCTTCATCTCAGTTCTCTCTCTATTTCGCCTTCACGAACTCATAACACTAAGGCCGATTGGCCAAACAAACTTATAGTATCAGAAATTAGAGAGGTTGGGCACTTGAAGACATAAAGAACTATCCATGGCCTCCCTTTGAGCTCTTGTGAATAACCGGCGAGAAGAACCATCAATGTTCCTCGTCATGATATCTTTGAGAAACTGATTGGAACACTTATTAAGCTAGATTGCTCTTTAGTTGGAGAATTTTGGGCCGGGTTTAGTGGCGCAGCATCTAAGCTCTGTTATCAATCTCCCAAGGCAAGTACTTTACTTCTGAATTCTAGCATTTTGTCTACTTAGTTATGTTAAGTGTTGACATATTTTGAATTATCTGATCTCTCACCGTTTTCAATTGTTGAATTAACATTATAGCAAAGCGGAGCGATCAAACACCAAGAAACCCTAAAGAATGTGATATATTAAATAGTATCAACTTGAAGCGAGGGCTTATACCTTATGAATGTGGGAGACCGTAGTCTCTATTAAACATGATGTACATTTTCAGGCAGTTTCCTCTCGTGTGCTAAAGCTGGTAGACGTGTCCTCATGTAACCATGGTCGTCATAGCATAGAAACTGAGTTCGTGTATCACTGATATCAGATTCATGAGACTTAGAAATCCTTGTCCCACTCTTCTCACTCTAAGTCTTTAAGATTGATCACCAATATCTTTATCTTCTCCATCTTGTGTTCTCTTAACCATGCCTGCAGGAAATTTTGAGGTTCAATTAGGAAAGTTGCTTTGTTAAAATGTGAGCAATATGTGATAAGGTTAATCAGTTTTGGTAAATGATTAATGGCTGTCCTTACAGATTCAATTCTGCGACGGTGAGCTTTGGTAACTGTTGGGTTTCTCTAGACAGTGATGAACCTTCGATGATCTGCTTCTGAAAAATTCATAACCAACTCAGCATTCCATAGCAAAGCACCTCATTTAGAGCATGTGACTAAGTTCTGTTTCCTTGCTTTAGTGGTTTAGTGTTTCCTAAAAACCATTGTGTTGTTTGATTAAGTTAAATGAAGATGTGGAGCAAAAATAAATATGGTTGTTCGTATTTGCATATATTTTAAATATTTCTTTAAATGTACTTAGTGGGTTTGAAAACTGTACTTAAGAAATTTATATTTTAAGTTGTCCAGTGAGAGTTTCTAGAGAGTTTCTTAATTAGGGGTCATTAAAAAAAACTTAAGATAAAATTTATTTATTAAATAAAATAAATTAAAAGATAATATTTAAAACATAGATTTTTTTTTAAAAAAAAAACTAGTATAATAATCGAGAATAATTTGGAAAAACATCCGATCTCAATTGTTATCTTCATCACGTTCAACTTTAGATTGTTTCGTAAATAAATTTTTTGATTAAGAGAAGAAGAGGAAATAAACTTGTTTTGGTCGAAATGTGTCTCCAAATTAAGGATCGGTAACTGCATTTTAATTTAGTTTTCATTTAATTAAATGCTGTAATTTCTTTCAAACCTCTCTTTAAAACCTGAGATAATGAATTAATGATGGTCTGGCCCTTTCGTTAATTTCGCCTGAGATATTACAATAAATATATCTTACTCATGTGTGTGTTTTAACCGGACTATTTAGCTTCATCTTACTTTTTTGGTATCCTCAACTCTTGTTGTGAATATAATGTGACGCTCTCAACTCTTCATTTCCGAACCTTTGAAGATCCATTCGGCCTCTAGCTACTTCCGTGAGTGTCTTCCCGGCCCTATGTAGTATTATATCCATGATTTCAAGAGAAGCAGTCTTTAGCCCTAATTTTCTCAAGTTACTTGTATCTAAAGCAACGAAATATCACAGAAACCAGAGACATATTTTCTTCTAAGAGAAGAACAGAATAACCCACAAGAGAAGAACCTCGCTGGGAAAAAAATTATAGTGCTTTTTTCACTTTGAAGAAAAGAGGGAAATAAACGTGACTCACAAGTAAAAGTATATTTTTCCATTATCTTTAAAGGCTAAAGGATCTACCAACCAAAAATCGCAGAAACCAGAAACTAAACTTGTGTTGGAGCAAACGAATTATGGTTGTTTTCACCAGACTCACCATCCTATATACATTGTCAAAAACTCATCTCCATGTACAAAACTCTAGAGTATTTCACCATATTCAACGACCATTTCCTTCCAATCATTAGCTAGTCCCGACGTCATCACTCGTCTCAGCAGCAGGATTACCAACAGAACTGTCTTCTCCAGCTTCACTTTCTGCCTTGTCCTTTTCAGTTCCTTCAGGCCTATCTTGGACCGAATGATCATCGCCTAGGCTTAGATTGGCTCTCGTTGAATCTCCTTCACTAGCAGAGCTTGGACATTGATCTGTAGAAGCCACATCTCCAGAGACAGGTTGATGCACTACGTCTCCACTGTTACTTGTTTCGCCTATGCTTCCTGTAGATGCAGGGACAGGCTCTTTCTTGTAAAGCGGACGCATTTGGCCACGGATATCTGATTTAAATACAAAAACGAAAAAAAGGGTAAAATCACAGCAAGGTTTAGGCGTGATATATATATATATATATATATCACTTATATTTAATAAGAAAAGGAATATTAACACATACCTTCTAGTTGTATAGGCGTGATATCAAACTCTTGACACCAGCTCTCTCTATTTGATTCCAAGTCCATTCTTACGTACTTAGCAGCGAGGAAAAAAACAGCTCCTGCTATGTGACGTGGCTTATACTGCAGGCAGAGTGTCGTCCAGTAACTGCAAATCACTTGTGACTCTGTATAAGAGCGGGAAAAAAAAACAAGCAACGCCTATACATAACCCATCAAAATTCTTAGAGATTTTGAAAGACAATTACCTATCCATGACAAATCTCCTTGCAACTCGAAGAAACTGGGCCTTAGTAGCGTCGTCAAGGATATATTTATCAATTGCTACGATAAGAGGACTAAAAGGAAGATCAACACTGACATCAAAGTTGAATGTAGCAAAAACAAGCTTCTCTCCACTTAATACAAGCTCTTTCTGCTGTTCATATACTTCCTGCATAAGTGAAACAAACATTTTTATGATCTAATTCACGAACGAAGTTTGAGATGGACAAGGAGGGTTGAATAAGTAGGAAAACCTCTCTCTGATCAGGTTCAATAGCCTTCTTGTGTATGATCTCATGAGAAACAATAATAACTTGTTTTAAGTCCAGTCGAGTTGCTTTCTCAACCTTCCCAGCAATGAACATGCAGATTGTTGCAATTGTCTAAACGTAACAAGGCAAAATAATGCATAAGAAGTAGCAATATACACGAAAAGCAACCAAAAACAATGCCTTTTTATTCAAAACAAAAACAAAAACCAGAGAGGTTGATCTCTATCACAGATGGTTTTTCATTCAAGTAATCAGGTAGAGTTCTCCTGATCAATGATAAGAAATCATTTAGTAGAGGTCCAAAATCATATGACTCACCAATCTGTCATTCTTTGCGTGAGACTGAAGAAGGAAGAATCTGTGACAGAGCGCAATAGCAGTGGCGAGCACAATCGGGTGACTGCGTTGGTTGAGAGATTATTAAATATTCGTTAAAGCAAACAAAACCAACCTAGAGTATCAATAAATGACTGCACTAGATCAGACTATATAATAGTAGATCAAAGTCTATATGTCAAAAGGACCCTAGTCAATATAGAAACTAAACTAGCTTGAAGCGGCAAAACAGAGACAGCAAAGAAAAAGAAACTTACACTTTGAGTCTGAGACCGAGTTCTTTCAAGAATGTGCAGTATGAGTTGCGTAGACGAGTTTCTTCCTCCAAATCGATACCATCTTGCCTTGATGGGGAGTTGTTTTCTATTTCTTCTCTCGAAACATACCATCCATCATCACCAGGCAACATATTCTATAATGTAAATCAAAAGAGAGCGGTGATCCAAGACTGATTCTAAGCAAGGGTAAGAAGGGAAATCAAATGGAAACAACTGATCAACGGCAATTGGAAACAGAGGATCAAGATAGATTCAAGGTCATAGATAAATTCAAGATGCGATCTTTCGTAAAGGGTCAAGAAGAAGATTGCAAATTGCCAAGAACTCGAAAGGAAAAAGAAAGTTGCATTCTTGTTGCATCTCAAACAAAACCCACGACGACGAAAGAACCCATTTTATAATGAAAAACCGCAGAGAGTCTAAGAAGAAGAAAAGAAAAAGGATGGAAACTTAACCTAGAAACGAACGAACGAGGAAGAAGATTGAGAGAGTACTCACTCGTCTTCTCTACTGACTCACGCTCTTTTTCAGTCGTTGGAGATTTTGATAATACAAGAGGGCGCGAGCGCGCAAACATAAATACTCTCTAGTTTGGCAAAGTTAACTGCTAACCAATCTTATTTACACACGTGTACAGGTAATTTCAAAATAAAAATCAATACAATACAGTTTCTTTCTCCGATGTAGGTTTTGTCAATAAAAAATTCCACACAATACAGTTTTCATATTGAAACCAAAGCACCAACTAATATTTCAGTATTTGGATGACGTGGTTCAAGAATTGGATAAAACCAATGACCTCCCTCTTTGGATTTTTTCGTCTGATGAGGGATAAGTTTAAGAATGCTACTTTATCTCGTAAATATACTGACTATGACCTTCAGACCCTTTTATCTCTCAAAGTCAGACATCTAGTTTTGGATTTGAAGTTTGAACAAGACTTGTGTTTTTCATTTGACTTCTCAGAGCTGCCAACACATTCAGAAAATCTGCCGCAGGAAACTTCTATCATATCAGCTTCAGCTCCAGCTATGTCAATTACCACTGACACAAGCATGTCAACTCCAGATAACAAGGTAGCCATTTCCCACTTCAGTCTCCTGCACCCACGCCTTAAGGTGCCGGATACACAATTATGTTCTTAATGTTGCACCAAACCAAAACTCAAATCTTTTTGAGGTTCTATACTTTCCACAAGTAGGATTCTGGAACTTATCTTCATAACTCATGGACACGTATCTTATTAGCTGATCACGTGTAAGCCTATGGTTTCCAACAGATAACTCATATACTGATTCTAACATGTTACAGACTAAGAAATGAAGAAGGTATAGATCTGTTTTCCTTTTCACCAGGATCAAGGAAAACACTAAATCTGAGATGTGATTGGTATTCTAGAGAAAGCACAGCAGACAACTATGTGTTGTTTAAACTTCATATAATATCTCACTACTATTGTAATCCCACGCTTATTTACAATGTTGATTCTTGTACTAGTAATGGTGTCATGTTTATACACCTATTGTTCTTTCTATATGGTAAAACTATTCACAAGGAGGTGAAGTCTGACTGATTCATAACTTGCACTACCAGTCAATATACGTTGATTTTATCTCGTCCCCATGTCCTCTTCCGCCTGCAGATATGAAATGAGAATATTAAGGGCCTCAGAACTAAACCCGGAACAGAGAAAATATGTAAAATCAATGCATAAAATTATTCTTACTTCTTCTGTAACTTGACTGATTGGTGGAGTATCTTGAAACTGTACACTGGGTGCGTGTATCACTTGTGAAAGTTGCATTAGTAGTCTCCTCCTGTAGTTGAAGGCACAAGCAAATTCATAAACTATGATTGGCTAACCATGGCATTGAAGTAAACAGGTATTAGAAGATTACTTTATTTCTTCAATATAGACGTCTGAGTTTAAATCCTCCATGGGGTTTGGCTCGATATGAAGTTGATAATGTGGGGCAAAACACGCATCGGACACAGTGATAGGAAGATCGTTGTCAATTTCTTTTCCAACCGCAACAGCTGTCTGCGCCAAGGGAACCAGAAAAACAAAAACAAAAAAGCACCATTCAAGAACAGGACTTGTAACGAATATAATTGAATGTTGAAGTTACTAAAGAGACCTCATAGCACCAGCAACGTGCAACATTTCCAAGAGAGTGACCTTGACCACCCAAAACCATGAGAGGAACATTAAATGATCTTATGTAGCGGAGACAAGCAGCGTGACCCTTGATGGTCAAGTTGAATTTACCCAACTCATCACCAGCTAGTGAATCAGGGCCACACTGAAGAACAATTGCTTCTGGTTGATAAACCTCCATAGCCTTGTGGATAATAGGTATGAATAAAGTGGTGAAATGTACATCGTTCAAACCATTCTTCAGTGGTGCATTTAGAGAATAGTACTCTCCCTTTTCTACCCCGTAGTCTGTTATGTATCCTGTTCCTTCCCCAGACTTGTGAAAAGAAACAGTCATAACTCGATTAGTTTCGCTGAATGCTTCTTCTACTGCATCCCCATGGTAATACCCAATATCTATGTAGAGAACTCGCTGTCAAAACCAAAGTCATGTTAAAAAGTGTAGAAACATCTTGCATCAACGCTTAATCAAATTCAATAAGCCATTCAGGAGCAAAGCTACTAACTCAAGTGGAAGGTTCCCTACAGCTCAAGACTCAAGAATCAACGCTTATTAATCAAATTCAGGAAACCATTCAGAGGCAAAGTTACTAACTCAAGTTAGAAGGTTCTTAACAGCTCAAGATTCAAGAAACAACGGTTAATCATCAAAGAAAGTAGTTAACCTTGAAGACTTTGAGCAACTCGAGGATCCCAAGCACAACGTCATTGACATAGCCAAAGCCACAAGCCTGATTTCTCTTGGCACGGTGCATCCCGCCGGACCAATTGATGGCGATATCAGCTTCGTTTCGGCTCAGTCTATCGGCGGCGCAAAGAGAGCCACCAGCGTATCGACGGCAATATTGGAAGAGGCCAGTGAAGAAAGGGGTGTCCCACTCGTCCATGTTGAAGAGCTTGAGGGAAGTATCATCATCGGGTTCTAACTTCTCCAAGTTGACATAATGCTGCGTGACAGAAGCAAGGTATGCTATGTATACCGGCGAGTGGAACTCAACGAAATCTAAAGATTCTGCGAGTCTAGGGCGGATGATATCCATGTCGTTGTGGAGGCCATAGCTACGGATGAGGTTGTGAGTCGTACGGTTCTGTTGTGCTTCCCGTCGATTTCCTTCGCCGATCGATGGCTCGTAAATGTAGCTCACGCGCCGTTTCCTTCCGTCGGGTTTCGAAGTCAAGCTCGCCGCATTCTCCATCTTCTTTCTCTTTCTTTTTCTTTTTCTTTTTCTCTGCGTTTTTCTTTGTTTCTTTTTCCGCCAAGAAGCGAGAAAAAATTATTTTATATTGCGCTATTTCAGAATTTATATCTTTATTCTATTTCGCAACGTAAATATAATCTGTTATTATCAAGCACAACGTCAATACAAATGTATCAAGCACAATGTATTAGCAAACAGATACAAATACAATAGTACTTACTGACAATAATAAATTGCATTTACGTATGAGATGGTCAAGTAAAATGGTAAATGCAGATCCAAACGAAACTTCTAAAACGAATGGTTTTGTACTGAGAATATTTGGAGATTCAAGTTGAAATATTTGCACTAATTGATACTATAGTCTATAGCCGTCTCAGATATTAAAAAAAAAAAAACCAAACTTTTGCATAGGTTCCTGAGATTAATTTAGACTTTGGTTCGAAATCTTTTAATCATCTAAAAACAGAATAACTTTCTGTTATATGTCATGATCGTCATATGTGGACTGTAGACGTTTTAATTGAACTGCTGAGACTAAATTATTGGACAATCTTAAGCTTCATCTTACTTATATTGTTGGGCATTGCAAAAGAATAAAATCTAAGAAAATATAAACAATTGATTAGAGGCAGTCGATTGCTGAAATGAAATCTTTATTCCGTAACTAAAAACACACTGAATTAAAATTTTTATTCCATAACTAAGAAAAAACACGATTCATTCACATGGGAAGATTTGAGTTTGAAGGAAAGGCATCGACATTAGTTAATAGTTAACTTAAAGCCACTTTAAATCACACCAAACCGATTTCTTTGCTTAATGCAATGAAAGAAAAAAAAAACAATAATATTCGATGCCTGAAATGTCTAAACAACCCCTGTGATGGTGAATATTTCATTTTTTTATATTCGATTGGGTCCCACAGTGACGTCAATTCCTTCCTATAAATAGACTCCCTTCGACCCACACAAATCTCTGTTTAAGGATACAACACCACTCCCAAATCTCCTCTTCCCCAAAATACTCTCAGAATCTTTTAAAGTCCAGAAGCTTCTTCTGAGCCCTAACAATGGTGACAACGAAGAAGAGCGAAAGCAGTCTCAAGTTCCTCTGCAGTTACGGCGGTAGAATACTTCCTCGTTCTGTAGACGGAAAGCTCCGTTACGTCGGCGGATTCACCAGAGTCCTCTCCGTTGTTGATTCCATATCTTTCTCAGGTCCGTTCATTTTGTTCCCCCGATTTTCAGTTACTTGAAAAAGAAAGTAAAACTGATTTTTTTTTTTTGTTTTCTTTTTTTTTACAGAACTAATGGTGAAATTGGAAGAGTTCTGTGGATACACCGTTGATCTAAAGTGTCAGTTACCAAACGGAGATCTCGAGACGCTGATCTCCGTCAAGTCCGACGAGGATCTAACGAACATAGTGGAGGAATACAATCGCGTCTACGGAGGCAAGATTCGAGCGGTTTTATCTACTCCTAAGCAAATATCGCCACGATCTAGCGGCGGCGGCGGCGATGTGTCACCGAAGTCGCCTTTCTCCGTCGTCGTCGTGGCTTCTCCTCCTCCTCCGTCTGCGGCGTATAGAAGGTTTCCACAAGCTCGGTATCAGATGGAGAATCTTCAGAGCGGAATATTCCGTAAGCGAGCGGAGGAATATTCGCGTTGCTGTAAATGCCGTATGCAGAACAGAGACTCCAAACTCATTTGGCATTGACGTTTTCAAACGGTCGTCAAATCGAATAGACTTAAATAATAAATAATAATTTTGGAAGTTTATATGGTCGTTGATGTTGATGGTTATGATGAGAAAATTAAGGAAATTACTAAAGTTTGTAGTCGGAAACATGGTTCCAGTGAAACGGAGAAGAAGACGGAGTTTTTTTTTTATCTTCCGTTATCTTTCTTGTTAAGATATGTGGGTAACGTACAACGTTAGTTTTTTTCTCAATACGTGGTACGTTGCGACCGTTCTAGTTGTGAAACGTGTCAATCTCAGACGTGAGTAATATGTGTGTGTTTTGTGGATCAGTGGATGTGTTTTCTCACACGTGTATGTATGCCTGTTAGACTGTGACTCAGTGACACCGAAGTTTGGCCTTTTTTTTCTCTGCATAGTATTCTTTGTTTTGTTTATAAGTTTTTTATTTTTGTAAACTGATTTGCTATTTGTCATGTTTCATCCATGTCTAGTCACAATGGCGTAGGATTATTAACTGTTCTCGCAAATTCAGTTACCTTTTGCCAAAGGCAAAAATATAAATAGGGGATACTTCCAAATATCAATTGCAGAACTTATACCATCTGCAATGCGGTTAACCAAATTTTTTATTATTAAACAAATTAAATTAAATAATAATATTTAATTTGCATAAGTTAAAAGAAGAATTATTAACTAAAGAATTTAAAAACTTGATTTTTAATGACGTGAAAACACTCGATTGTTAAAACTTTTAACTTCAAAAAAAAGTGACCTAATCCCTAAACCCTATAACTCTAAACCCTAAGTCTAAATTAGTTAATCCAAGAGGTATAAATGTGTTTTACAGTATTTAATAAAGTTTATTTTGGTTATTTTTTTTTATATGTTATATTTGTGATAAAAGAAATTTTAGATCTTTCTAAATCATTTTCTCATAAAAAGTTTAATTGCACATATATTAAAATTTAATTCTTTTTTAAGAATTTCTAAATGGAGAACACCATTGGACGAACATCTTAGATTAAAATACTTAACTATTCAGAAGAAAAAAATTAGTTTAATACTGCTAAGATATTCTTATAAATAAATTAGCCGTTGTTTTAGGAAAAAAAAAGTTTTTAATTTTTTATTATCTATATTATTAAAAGAGAAGTACCCATATAAAATACTCCTGAGTTTTTCTAATTACTTACAATGTTATGCCACTGAAGTTATAAATTACCCTACCTTATAGGATTCTTTTTCTTTTCACTTTAATTAATGTATTTCCAAAATCAAATTTTAACTAAAGAAAATTATGGCAACAATAATTAATGAAAATAATTATTTTCATATATACCTTTCGTAATTAAATAAATAAATTATATAGAAATTGTTTTACTAATTCCATATACATAATAATTAATTCCAATATTAATTAACCTACCTTTTAGTATTTTTTCTTATTAATTATCTACATATTCTTAAATAGTTAATGAATAATATTTTTTTCAAAGATATATAATTATATTTTTATTATTTATAAGTAATAACTAAAATAAGTCACAAAAAGAAACATTTATATAATATATAATAAAAATATTAATATAAACATATCATGTTATGTATATTTTTATATAAATAATAGTTCAAGGTAAATTCAGAATAATAAAAGTTAAAAAGTAGAAATATATAGGACCATATATTTTGTATAGTAAATAAAAAAGTATAGTTATACATTATTATAAAATTTTGATCCACAAAAATAAAATAAAAACATTTTTGCAGATATACGAGTCATATTTTTAAAATAAGTATGACACAATGATAGTTTATAAGATAAAATAATATTACTCAATATAAACTATAAAATTGTGTATTTAAAATGTCATTTTAAAAAATTATTTAAACGGGTAAATTTAGATATATATATATATATATATTATCACTTATAAAATATATAAAAACAAACACTTGCGCAGATCAAACAGCAAACTTTTCAGTATTTTTTTGTCAAAATTATATCCATAAGTAATTTATAGCCATTTAATTGATACTTCATTTTTATTTTACATCATTTAGTATAAACCTAAAAATTAAAAGAAAACAAAATACGCGGATCATGGTCTAGTACTCTTCAATTTCTTTTAACACGTCTACACGTGAATATCGGTTTATTTCGAATCCTGATGACCAAAACCAATAAATATTACTCCCTCCGTTTCAAATTATTTGTCATTCTAGCTTTTTACACACAGATTAAGGAAACAATTAATTTTACATATTTTCAATATAAAAACACAATTACCAATACACCTAACCACTTTTCAACCAATAGAAAAATAGAATATCATATAAACATAATAAATTTTATCTCGAAACTCTAAAACGACACTTATTTTGAAACGAAAATTTTTCTCTAGGATGACATATAATTCGAAATGGAGGGAGTATTTGTCAAACAACTTGACCAATGACCACACACGCAATAAAAACTGAGCTCAATTTAAATTCAAGGATGGCAATACTAATAGACCAGAGTAAAAAGAATTATTAAACACTGCTGTGGAACGACTTGACTAAGATTGTAACAGACCTTATTTGACAAAGAGATCCAGAACCACAAGTGAATTAATAACAAAGATGGATTAGCAAGGAAAAAAAACCAGTTGCAGTTGTTCTTTTCCAATCAAGCTCTCTTAGAGCATTTCCAACCTCACTACAAATTTCATTTTGCAGTAAATTTATCTCTAACCCTACTCCAAAATAGAATAACAAACATGCATGATTACTCCAAATATGAAGTAAGCCAATTCATTACTCCAAAATAGAGTCAAACTTTTTTATTTATCAAATGGTCCTCCACATTTATATATATATATTCATTTTTAGTAAAATATTATTATAAATAAGTATATTAATATTATTTTAATATATATATTATAAAATTTACTGTTAACATTTCTTAATTATATATAGGCTCATTTTTAATATTATTATAGATAAGTATATATTAATATTATTTTACTATATATATTATTAAATTTACTGTTAACATTTCTTAATTATATAAACAGCCTTGTTTTTAATAAAATATTATTATAAATACGTATATTAATATTATTTTACTATATACATTATAAAAATTACTGTTAATATTTCATAATTATATAAATAGCCTCATTTTTAATAAAATATTACTATAAATAATTATATTAATATTATTTTACTATATATATATTATAAAATTTACTGTTAATATTCTTATTTATATAAATAGCCTAGTTTTTAATAAAATATTATCATAAATAAGTATATTAATATTATTTTACTATATATGTTATAAATTTACTGTTAATATTTCTTAGTTATATAAATAACCATCTGATGAACTCTTTTATGCAACAAAATATATACATAAAAGATCATACTTATAGAAAATAAAAGATAAGCACCATACAAAAGAAATAACATTAAAGAAAACTTACAACAAAGATAATTGCTTAATAATCCGATAGATCATTTCGGATCTATTAAAACTATTAAAATAATCTGATAAAATATTATTAAATTCTTACATAATATGATAATAGAATATGATTGTAATCACGAGACGCCAATTGAAGTTGAAAGAAAAGTTCTGCCTAGGGAAGTTGAAATTGAAGGAAATAATAATGTGAGGTTTCAAGAGTTTCTTTCGCATTTCAGAAAAATCAAAGATAAAGAAACTCATTGTTTACTTCGAAAAGCATTAATTGATCATTTGTGAAAAATTATTCTAATTCTAATGAATAATTTAGAACTGATGTATTATTGTGTTTAAGCTATGTAATGTAATTTTTAAAGTACTAAATGTTTTTTGATCAAAAAAAAAAAAACAAAAAAGTACTAAATGTTTTCTTTTAAAACCTTGTTGAGTAATTTTATTTATATAATAAAAGTTTAAATGTGGATAATATTGTAATTAAGAGACTATAAATTGAAAATGGACTGTTTTGCAAATAGTATAAATGAAATGTGATATTACTTTTTTTAAAAGGGCCGAAATGTGATATTACTAATTTTAAAATAAATATAAAACATAATATATTAGAAATATTCTTTTCGAATAGAAAATGGAGTAATACATTGGAGTAAAAGTTCTCAATTGCATTTTGAAGTAGAAGTGTAGAACTAAATGTTGTACTCTATTCACGGGATAAAATTTTGACGAACCAAAACGTAGAATTGTAAAGTTGTTGAGAACTTGCTCATGTTCATAATAAATGTTTTTTTAACTGTTCATAATATAATGTTAGTACACAATATGTGAAAAGAATAACGCATACAATATGTGAACATAATTACGCAAAGTTTAGGTCAAAAAGATTGCAAAGTTGCAAACAATTCGTGGGAACAAACAAAAGAAACCACAAACAATATTGTAAACCGAGGCTACACAAAAAAAACAATAATCTGTGTCCTTGTTTAAAATCTACAAATTTGGATTTCTAATTAATGATTTTTCTAGACTTTGAATAATTTCTTATAACGAATAGGAATGCAAGTGTTCTTCATGGAGATGCATTTCTTTTCTTCTTTTTAAGAAGTGAACAATTTCATTTTTGTGTACAAAGTTTGATTAGACCATTTCTTGACGAATTCGTTTTACTCGACATCGTTAGATCTAATTAACAGACAAAAGTCATAATCATGACTATGTATCACTAAGCTAATCATGTACCTATTTCAGGTAAAAGAAATTCATAGGGGAATAGAAAATGGTAAGGCTAAAGTGGACCGTAGACACACATCTAACTTTGGTGCGAATGAACTGGTGAAGCGTCAGCATCACACGGTCGCTATAACATACAAGATTAAGATTAGATACGTACCTGAAAATGCTCGCCATCATCAAATAAACTGCTTCCATGTCAAAAGTTGCTTATTTTGCATCATTTTTTGAATCATCGTTTGCTTATTTTCTCCTTCCGGAGTCTTCATTCTCTCTTGTTTGTTTGCGGTAGAAATGGTGCAAAGTGCTTTAACTGACTACGTTTTGTAAAGATAAATTCAAAATAAATAATTTTTTTTCAGTTTTGTTACTAGCATCAGATGTTTTGATTATTCATGCCAATTTCATGGCCACCAGTACTAGATCCTAATCTCTCAAAGGGGTTAAACACTTACACTTGATCCGGCCACCTTACAACATACACCAATCCACGATTAATTGACAATATCCCAACAACAAAAACGTGTTTGTTAAACGGCCGATTATTAGGTCAGGATTGGTTCAAACACATTATTTACATTAAAAATCACATAATGTGTATATGTAAAACATTTTTTCACAAAATGTATTTCTATTTCCCAATGTGCTAATGCAACCGCAGAAAAATATTGGGAAAGTGACCAAAACTCTTGGCTGATAAATAAAGTGACATATATATGATGTCTCTTCGTGAGCTTTCTTCTGTCAGCTATAAATCAGACAGACAGTCCCATGTGTGAGGAAGAAACACGTAATCTTATCATATTTCAGCAACAAACCTCACATGGCCATGTCCAATACAGACAGATGGGGAAAAATATAAAATGTGAGAAAAATATAAAATTCACTTTTGTATTTGAGAAAAATATAAAACTTTCATAATAAATCAATATGTGCATTTATATTCTATATCAAGAAAAGAAAATCTCAAACTATAAGTCTATAAAACATCAGCGACTGTATACACAGAGATACTTTACCAAAATTGTTCTCTGTGATCTACATAGCTTAGTAGCTATCAAAAACTTTTATCCATGACCCTCAGTAGAGATGAAGAACAGAGAAAACTGTTCACTTGCTCTCAAGTACCTACACTATGTTCCAAATTAATTTTACAATTAAACATATTTGGTCCAAATCAACCAGGATTTAAGCAAGACTTTTGTATTGAGCACTTCTACTGTAAATGAATAAAAAAATGCTACGTGTGAGGTGAATAAATTAGTCTCTTAACTGCATTCTCTAAGTGAAATTTGTAAATTTATTTCAGGAATGAATAAAAAAAACAAGAAAGTGAAAGATAAGTAAAATTTTGAGAAAAAAGCAAACTGCTTAAGAACAATCCACACAACATCCTTCAATCCCATCAACAAAGCCTAGAAAATCAACTTAATATAAACTTCTATCTTCATAACTCTGCGGCTACTGCAGCAGGAAGAAGATAGAAGTTGGACATAAAATCTTGACGAAACTGTTAAAAGAATCTTTCAGTCCTCAGAGGTTTTAGTATCTATTCTCAAACCCCTACCAGGGGTTCATTCGGGTCTGTCTCAAAATGATGCTTTTAAGACCTCTCAGACCAGGAAGTCCGTAGAAAGCATAAATAACATCAGAAAAGTTAGGATAATAATACTTTAAGCTTTGCACATTCCTCTCCGCATCTGCAGAAGCAGAGTGATATTGCTTCTTCATCATCTGTACAAGACATAACGCCTCTTTATCCTTCTTGATTTCAACCAACTTGTCTATAACACCCTTGTAACTACTTCTCCAAGGCTTCACGTTATCATTTTCCACTTTCTCCTTTAAGAATTCGCACGCCTCCTCGATCCTGTTTTGGCTAAGATACATACCTACCAAGACATCAAGCAGTCCAGAGTCAATACCAATCCCTTTCTCTAGCATATTCTCAAAACACACAAAGACCTTATCCACTTCATTATTCTTAAAGTGGCCTTGGATCAGAAATTCAGAACAGTCCAAGTTTTTACATCGGGGAGACACCCATCTGCTTCCATCTGATCCAGGACGACACCACACGCTTCCTCTAATCTCTTAGCTTTACAAAGACCAAACACGAGTTGGCTGTAGGTGATGTTATCAACCTCACAACCATCACTTCTCATAGCCTTCATGACTTCTTCAGCTTCGTCAAACCTAGCTACACTGGTTAAGAACCTATGCATTCCATCATAAACAGCCTTCGATAGAGGCTTCTTCCCAGTTGATTCATATTTCCTCGAAACCGATAAACCAAATCCAAATCTGGACTAGGACCAGTCGATAAAGACTTCAACAAAAGAGTACAATCTTCAAGAGATGGCTTAAATTGACCATCCATCATAAACTCGTAAAGCTTCACCGCCTCAACCATCATTCTAGACATCTGAAACTGTCTTGACACTTTTACATAAGTATCAAAATCAACCTCGTGCCCTGCACGTTTCATCTCATCAACAACACTCCAAAACTGCGCGACCGAACAAGGACTTGCCAAAACCCTCAACGCTGCGTTATAAGTAACGGTACTGTTTTTATCACCGACCCAACGTAAAAACGACAAAGCTTTCAACGGATCTTCCTTCAGTCCTTTCAACACTCTGATAACGAAATCATCAGACAAAGGGAGTTTCATACGCTCAAGCTCCCTCTCAACCTCACAACTCCAATCCTTTTCCGAAACAGAAGCGGAAACCTTGTCTGCAACAACAAACATTGCGTTATCCTTATAGAAACGATCTAAAGCCGTAGCGTCTTTGTAGCTCTCTCTGTTAAGCAAAGTGTAGATAGTCTTGTAAGTTTCCTCATCAAGACAAAACTCTCCTCGTTTCATATTGGTAAGAGTCATCCAAAACCGTTTCATGGGTCTTTGCTGGACTAGTATCATCCTTAGCATCGTGCTGTAAAGTGGGGAGCTTGGAGGAAGATCTGATTCTCTGATGACCCAGTTGAGAAAGGAATAAGCTTTCTCTGGGTGCTTAGCTAGTTTCCTTAGAACGTAGATTGCAGTCTCGTGGGTTAGAGGCGTTTCTGGTTTTTGCAATCCTTCCACTACTTGTTTAGACCAATCGTTTTCGAGAACTAACTGAAGCATACACTCTGGTTTTGAAGTAAAAGAGCGGAATTGCCACGGAGAATCGAAGGACGGAGAAAAACCTAGCTGAACTCGGCTTAGATAGGAAGGATTTGAGATCTTAGAGTAAGCGTTGCGAAGCGAAGACAGAACTGCCTTTGCTCTGTACATGCCTACACTGAAGAAGACGAAATGGGGACAATAGGGTTTTAGTAAGAAATACAGTATCATGAGGTTTATGAGCCTTCTAAACGCTGCATTTTGTCTGAAGCTATTTTAAGTTTGGGCTTTTGGACCATTGGTTTTAAATTTTTAATATTTGGGTCTTCTCCCGGATTTCCTTACCAACAACCAAACAAATGTCGTCTGGTTAGTCTGTTGGGTGTAGAGTACAGGAAAGAGAATCAAAATTAGATATGAAATAATTCAAAATTTCCATTTCATAGAATAATTTTCAAAAGCTAAAACTATATAAATTAAAATCATTTTGTATATCTTTATGGTCAAAAATATTAGAACCAATGGTCACCTAATCTGTTGTAAAATTAAATGTTTAGATATTTACTCCATAATATGAAGCTAAAAGTTTTATTTTTGTTAAACTTTCTAAATTTGAGAAATATTACAATATCTTTAAGGATAAGAATAAAACAATATTTTACCAATTTTTAAATATATTTACGACTTTAATAATGAAATGATAATTCAAAACAATATATATAGAAGAAGATACAAATACATGTGAAGGTTTGAAACAATCTATCCGATGAAACTATTATATGATAAAATTATTATCTTTTAAAAATTGATATACATATCTCATATATATATATATATCAATTTAGAAGTGAAAAAATCGTTTTAAAAAAAAGAAAACAAAATGTTTCCATAAAAATAAATGAAAAACACACCCGCGCGATTGCGCGGGTCGAAATCTAGTTAAAATTAAATTACAAGACAACAATTACCTGTTTTAAAGTGATTTTCACTACAAGAAAACGATTTTTCAACTAGGAATATTAACGAGGAAAATATTTCCTCGTAAAACTACGGTGACATTACGAGGAATTTACGAGAAAACAAAGATTCCACGTACTTTCCTCGTAAAATCTCGAGAAAATGATTTTTTTCGTAATGTCCTAGTAGTTTTACAAGGAAACTACATGGCTTTTCTAGTTTCCTCGTAAGTGGACGTAAGCTTGACTAGGAGTTTAAGAAGAAATGTTAAACTGCGATTTAGCTAGGAAATGGCGAATATTAAAATTTTTGGACCATAGTAAAATGGTGTTGTTTCATAAACTGGTTCATCTTCTTCCTCTTAACCTTCAATCATTTAGCTTGGACCGAATATTAAACTTTTTGGACCATAGTAAAACGGCGTTGTTTCATATATAAACTTATTCATCTTCTTCCTCTTAACCTTCAATGATTTTGTACCAAAAACATTTTACAGCCGATCGCCACTAAAACCTAAGCTTAGACAGAAACACAAAAATTTTGTACCATTTTCTTTATAAATATATAAATAATAAATATAATAAATTAAATATTAAAATAAAATAAAATTATTTTTATATTTTTGGATTATAAGTTTTCCAAATTCGCACTTTTTTAATAAATCTTTTCTCTTTCAAAATTGTTTTCTGATTTTTTTATTTTTATTTTAATTTTCTTTTTGAAATTCAAAAATGCTTTTTAAAAATATTTATCAAATTTTTATTTTAAAATTTTTAATATTTATTTTCTATTCTTAAAGCTTTTAAATTCCAACCCAAAATCCCACCCTTAATTTTAAATAAAAAGGTCTAAGGTTATTTAACCTCATAGGTATAAAAATATCTTTGTCATTCAATAAAAAAAAATGGTCATTTTCTATTTGAGAAGTTTTTTTGTGAACATTAATTAAAAGAGATTATCCTAGAAAATTTCTCATTAAACATTGTTAATATTAATGTATGAATTAGCATGGATTTCATAAGTTCGTGTATGTTATTCAAATTATGTATAGATTAAGTACGTTTTCACACAAAAGTTTAGGTATGTTTTGCAGGGCTTTTTGCAAATTTGACTCAAAACTCATGGTCAAACACAAAACTAACTTCTTCTTTTATCTCATCTTGTTTTTGTCCAATCCACCCCACATCTTCATTTTATTTACGAAAATGCCATTAAATTTTTTTTTTTATTTTTTTTCGAAAATAGCTTTTTTACTCTCTCAACCTCATCATCTTCAAGTATTTACAACATTACCATTGCCATGAATACTTCCAACAACCTTGTACAACCCAACAACCTTGTACAACCAAGGTTTGAAGCTTTTAATGCACTTAAAATCGATACTCATACTCTCTTTCTCAATTGTTATGAACTAAAAACAACATCTCCTTCACTTTGTCTCCATATTCATGCCAAAAACCCAAGCTTTTGATAGCAAATTTTTTTATGGTTGATAGAGCCATTTAAGCATACAATTGTTGGTGGGGTTACTTTCGTTCGATGTTCTGGGTGGTTGGAGAAGACTCTGTGTGCAAAGGAAGTCATCTCACCTAGTTTAAGGTTTGAAATTGAATTTTTTTCCAGATCGCTTCGCGTAGAAGACTTACCCGTAAGTCGTCTGGATGTAGAAGACTTACAGATAAGTCTTCTGGTCAAACGGACGACTTACTTCTAAGTCGTCCAGCTTTGTTTGTTAAAAAAAAAACTCCAGACGACTTAATTATAAGTCGTCTAGATAAAACGGTCTACTTTTGCTTTTGACCGAATTGTGTCAGATATTTGACTTTTTCTGGACGACTTAAAATTAAGTCGTCCCTGGGAAAGTTAAAATTTCAATNTCGTCTAGATTTAATAAAATATTGAAATTTTAACTTTCCCAGGGACGACTTAATTTTAAGTCGTCCAGAAAAAGTCAAATATCTGACACAATTCGGTCAAAAGCAAAAGTAGACCGTTTTATCTAGACGACTTATAATTAAGTCGTCTGGAGTTTTTTTTTTTAACAAACAAAGCTGGACGACTTAGAAGTAAGTCGTCTCATTTAAATTTCAATTGCAAAAATGACCTCAATGGGCGACTTAGAAGTAAGTCGTCCGAATGACTTACGTCCGGACGACTTAGAACTAAGTCGTCCAGACGATGTTTAGTAAACTTTCATGAAATTCCCTATGTTTACTAATGTGTTTTATTTTGAATTTTTGCAGATGATTCGTCAGTTACATGCAGTGTATGGAGAATGGTTGTTGAAAGATTGCCGTTGGGATTTTGTGGTTGATGATCTCAAAGGAGCAAGATTGTTTTTATTGATGAAGATTCAACACATGCTGAACTTGTTGCAAAGGCTCAAGAAGATTATAACACTGGACCTTCGATTCAGTCGTCCTGATAGAAGACTTCACAGACGACTTAAAGTTAAGTCGTCTGAAAGTCGTCTAGAAGAAAGAATTTACAGACGACTTCAAGACGACTTAGTACACAAAAATATTTATTATCATCCGAAAACACAAGTCAAACATTAGTACACAAAAGATTCATCCTAGGTTCAAGTTCAAATACAACAGTACACAAAAGATTCAAGTACAAAGACAATAGTACACAAAAGCATCAACCTCTTCTTTCGTCATACGTTCCCATGTTCTTATCATTGTATTTGTTTTCCCATTCATGGATCAAATTCAGCTCTTCATATATCTCCACCGCCATCTTCTCCCTGATCAACTTCCCATTTCTAGAAAAAAGTGCTTTGGGAAAGTCCATCCCAAGAGCATGACACTCAATGTACTTCAGAGCGAAGGGTCCACAATCACCACTTCGGCACTGAGGTACTCCAGTTGTTACTCTCTCATAGGTGTATGGCTCCAATGTGTATCGTGTCTTTTGTTCGTCAGTCACAGAGCACTCACATAGCAGATAAGGGACCATGTAAATAAAAGGCTCCATTACCTCATCGAGTTCAAGGGCTGAAATATGCCTGATAATGCTGTCCCAGACGACAATGTGCCTATTAGGGATTGATATCCATATAGCAATCCAATGGGTGTCATTGTAGTTCA